TTTGGTGTCTATTAGTGTGCGTTTTATGTTGTTTTGCCTGCTCACCAATTGATGTGGATAGTCGAGTCCCTACATGGGGCAGACATGTTGGGTGGGTTAGCCACCCCTCTAGCGGCGGAGAGTGGCGCGAGAGAAATAAACAGCTGACACTCTGCGTGAAACCAGAGGACTGCGTGGGGAGGGGAGGAAAAAGAGGTGGAGAAGGGAGTGGAGGAGAAAGAGGAGGAGAGGGGAGGGGCGGAGAAGGAGGAGGAGATGGGAGGGGAGGAGAAGGAGGAGGAAGAGGTGGTGGGGAAATCGGAGTGAGAGTACGTGGATGGAGGATAAGGAGAGGAGGAGATGTGCGGGGATGTAGAGAAGGAGATGTGTGGGGATGTAGAGGAGGAGATGTGTGGGGATGTAGAGGAGGAGATGTGTGGGGATGTAGAGGAGGAGATGTGTGGGGATGTAGAGGAGGAGATGTGTAGGATGTAGAGGTGGAGATGTGTGGATGTAGAGGAGGTAGATGTGTAGGGGATGTAAGAGGAAGGAGATGTGTGGAATGTAGGGAGAAGATGTGTGGGGATGTAGAGAGGAATGTGTGGGATGTAGGAGGAGGGAGATTGGTGGGATGTAGAAGGAGAGATTGTGGGGATGTAAGAAGGAGATGTTGGGGATGTAGAGGAGGAATTTGTGGGATGTAAGGAAGGAGATGTGTGGATGTAGAGGATGAAGGTGTGTGGATGTAGAGAGGAATGTTGTGGGATGTAGAGAGGAATGTGTGGGGATGTAGACGGAGCTGTGTGGGGATTGTAGAGGAGAGATGTGTGGTGGATGTAGAGTAGGGAGATGTGCGGGGAGTGAGAAATGAATGTGTGGGAAATGTGAGGAAGGAGATGTGTGGGATGTAGTGGAGGAGATGTGTGGAGATGTCTAGAGGAGGTATGTGCGGGATGTTAGAGAAGAGTATTGTGGGGATGTAGAGGAGGAAGATGTGTGGGGATGATAGAGAGGAGATTGTGGAGATGTATAAAACCCAGAGAAGGGCGAGAGGAGATGTGTGGGGATGTAGATGAAGGATAATGGTGTGGGTGTAAGAGGAGATGTGTGGGGATGTAGAGGAGGAAATGTGTGGATGTAGAGGAGGAGATGTTTGTGGGAGTGTAGAGGAGAATGTGTGGGGATGTAGAGAGGAGATGTGTGGGATTAGAGGAGGAGATGGTTGTGGGATGTAGAGAAGGAGATGGTGGGATGTAGAGGAGAGATGTGCGGGATGTAGAAGGCGGAGATGTGTGGATGTTTAGAGGAGGAGTATGTGTTGGGATGTAGAGGAGGAGATGTGTGGGTGTAGAGAGGAGTATGTGGCGGGATGTATGAAGAGGAGATGTGTGGAGATGTAGAGGAGGAGTGTCGGGGATGTAGAGAAGAAATTGTGGGGATGTAGCAGGAAGGAGATGTGTGGGATGTAGGAGGAGGAGATGTGTGGAGATGTAAGAGGAGATGTGGTGGATGTAGAGGAAGGAGATTGTGGGATGTAGAGAGGAGATGTGTGGGTATGTAGAGGAGGAGTGTTGTGGGATTATAGAGGAGATGTGTGGGGAATGTAGAGGAGGAATGTGCGGTATGTAGAGGAGGAGATGTTGTGGGGATGCAGAGGAGGAGATGTGGGAGATGTAGAGAAGGAGATGTGTGGGGATGTAGAGGAGGAGATGTGTGAGGATGTAGAGGAGGGGGAGGAGGAGGAGGAGGAGGAGGTGAAGGGAACGTAGAGGAGAGGTGGTACAGGGGGTTGTCTTCCTCACACATCCCTCCCCCTCTCCTCCCACCTCCCCTCTCTCCCTGGACTCCCTGCTCCCGCTCCTTCCCCTCCCGCTCCCCGCCCCCTATTCTCCCGTCTCCCGCCGGCCGCCTCTCCCGTCTCCCGTTCCCCCTTCTCCCGTACCCCTGCCCCCCTAAACCCCTCCTTGTAGAGGATGGGGGAAGGTGGAATTTGTATCGACCGCGTCAAGAAAAAAACGCGGTCTAGACTGGTTCGCGGCCCCACTGTTTGTGCTGTCACAAGCGCACAGGGTCTACATGCAGGGTCTGTAGCGTACTCGAGCCTGTAGAACTTGCTAGCACATTCTGCAACGCGTTTGTTGACTGTAGCTGCATGACGCCGGGAAGCAGTATAATCGATGGGAGGGCGGAAACTTTGAACGGGGAGAGGACGGGAAAAAACAACTATAGTCCGCCGGACTAGTGAGCATGGAAATTTACTAGTCCTCATTTTTTACTAATTTCGGACTCCCGGACTAGCGTTAGGGTCGAACCCTGCGTACATGTATCTACAAACGGATCCAACGTTACAGTGTATGTTCATGTTATCATATAGGATCTGCAGTGCAGACTGCACGGCTGCGTGTCCGCGATCACCAAAGACTCACACTTTTAGTAATATTGCCATTTATAGGTCATAATTTAATATAGGCACCTTTAACTGCCCTTTCCTTCATCAAAGCGAATATATAAAAAGTAAACTCCTTCGACCCATCGACATTTCCCAAAGTCAAAAGTGTTAGACTGGCATTCGCCAGATTGCCCGTCGTCATCTTGAAAACAACTCGCGCGCTGGGCGAACAGCCTCGGGAGCAGGATCGCGCGCGCTCGCGAGTTCGCAGTGTCGTTCAGAAGGTGAGCGCACGCGAGCGTTCGCGCTGCTGAACACGCCTCAGAGCATATAAATCAACGAGCATAGTCACTTCGACTTTTACCATTTTGGAATTGAGATGCTAGCGCCACCTAGTAGCGACAGTCCGCATTTTGATGAGGCGTATCTGTTTACTATTATAACGCTGCAAGAGCTTCTCATTGCTCGTCGTTTGATTCGTAAAATAATCACGAGCCGCAACTGAAATTTGTTTCACATGGAGGTAATCTAATTAAATCTAACTTTGTTATAGGTAGACTAACGACTATAATGCCGCTTTTATACTGGGCTTTATCCCGCTTCAGGTCCGGACCTGAAGCGGGATAACCCCCAGTATAAAAGGTCGAAACATACTTAGCCCGAGCTAAAGTTATCCCGCTCTAGGGGGTGGTTCAGGTCCGCTTCAGACCCGAGCTAACGTCAGTATAAAAGGTATTTCGACTTTAGCTCGCTCTAAATTCAGTGACAAAAATACCCCATTTATACTGGGGGTTATCCCGCTTCAGGTCCGGACCTGACCTGACATTGAGGACGGCTTGAGGGGCCGGGTTTGAGACAATATATATTACTCGCTGTGACGGACTATGCGAACTCAAATTTATTATATAGATATAAAAAAATAAAAATAAATATATATATATTTTTATTTTTTATTTATTTATTATATTTATGGTTATTCGGCTGCGATTTCTATGGTTTAAGTCTACTATGGTGGCCCAGCAACGCCATAGCCCACAATGCAACTCGGGAAAACCTTACGCGTGCGTGCGTATGTGCGTGTGCACGTATACGTGCGTGCATGCGTGCGCGTGCGCGTGCGAGCTTGTGTGTGCACGTACACGTGCGTGCGTGCATGCATGCGTGTGTGCGTGTGTACGTACACGTGCGTGCGTGCGTGTGCACGTACACGTGCAAGCATGCGTGCGTGCGTGCGTGTGTGCGTGTGCACGTACACGTGCGTGCATGCTTGCGTGTGCGCGTGCGAGCGGATGTGTGCACGTACACGTGCGTGCGTGCATGCATGCGTGTGTGCGTGTGCACGTACACGTGCAAGCATGCGTGCGTGCGTGCGTGTGCACGTACATGTGCGTGCATGCGTGCGAGTGTGCGTGCGTGTGCACGTACACGTGCGAGCGTGCGTGCGTGTGCACGTACACGTGCGTGCGTGCGTGCGAGTGTGCGTGCGTGTGCACGTACACGTGCGAGCGTGCATGCATGCGTGCGTGCGTGTGCACGTACACGTGCGTGCATGCGCGCGTGTGTGCGTGTGCACGTACACGTGCAAGCGTGCGTGCGTGCGTGCGTGTGCACGTACACGTGCGTGCATGCGCGCGTGTGTGCGTGCGTGCGTGCGTGCGTGTGCACGTTCACGTGCGTGCGTACGTGCGTATGTGCATGTGCACGTACACGTGCGTGCATGCGTGCGTGTGTGCGTGCGGGCGTGTGTGTGTACACGTACACACGTGCGTGCGTGCATGCACGCGAGTGTGCGGGCGTGCGTGCGTGTGCACGTACACGTGCAAGCGTGCGTGCGTGCGTGCGTGCGTGCGGTGTGTGCACGTACACGTTCGTGAGTGCGTGCGTGCGTGTGCACGTACACGTGCGTGCATGTGTGCGTGCGTGCATGTGCACGTACACGCGCGTGCGTGCGTGCATGCGTGCGTGCATGTGCACGTACACGTGCGTGCATGTGTACGTGTATACACGTGCGTGCGTGCGTGCGTGTACACGTACACCTGCGTGCGTGCGTGTACACGTACACCTGCGTGCGTGCTTGTACACGTACACCTGCGTGCGTGCGTGTGCACGTGCAAGCGTGCATGCGTGCGTGCGTGCGTGCTTGCATGCGTGCGTGCGTGCGTGCATGCGTGCGTACGTGTTCACGTACAAATCTAACCAACACTAAAACCCTAGTTTTCAAGAGGCCAAGTGCTGTACCGGTACAGTACAATATTTATAAGTAATGCCAAACACATAATAACTTATTGGGTCGAAATTTGACGCCAAACGCGAGCTTTGGTGGGCACACGACTTCCACGAAAAAACTTTCGGTTTTCGGAGTTTTCGGTTTTCAACATTTCGGATAATGGATTGTGTACTATATATATATATATATATACATACATATAAATAGATTATTTATTAATTACTGATTATTTAATTATCATTAAATTTACTAAAAATAAAGTTTCTTAACAATAAACTTTTTATTAAATAAATATAACCAAAGACTAAGAATAACGCCAAACAAACATGAGATGGCAGCACCATCGCTGAAGGAACATTCAGCAGACGAATACAAAGTCAATCGTGCTAGTATAAATTATTCGAAATCACAGTCGTGACTTATCTCGCAGCGATTAAATACAAAAGAATGGGCGGAAAGTTTACATTTCCATTGGTACAACAGCCTGCTGTCTATGAGCCACACTCGTACTTCACATCTACTGGTTTGTTACCTTCAGTTCAGTAGTTAGTAGGCCTAGTTACGCACGAAGGGTCGTTGTCGTAACACTAACAGGTACTACAGTCTACAGATATGTACCCGAGGTAGTTTTAGGTTGTTTAGTATTATGTTTATATTTTTATATGAGGTATGTTTAGGGTTTGGGGTTAGAGTTAGGATTAGGGTTAGAGTTAGGATTAGGGTTAGGGTTAGTGTTAGGGTTAGGGTACACTTCTGTAGTACAAGTCTGGTACACTTTGTGTATACATATATCATATATATTATATGTACCTCGGATACATATCTGTAGTACCTGTTACGACAACGACTCCTTGAGCACTAGTTACGCAGCTTGAATTAGAATTTAGGAATAGCATTAGAATAGAAACGTTGCCGAAATGCCGGCTGGGCCTCAGACAGTCACAGCCAAACTGCCAGTATAGGTTGAACCAGTAGCCACTTGTTCAAGTAGCTGTAGACGCCCCCGGGGGTATTCCGCATAGTGACGTTATATATATATTATATAATATATATATAATATGTATATATATATATATATGCGCCACATTAATGGCCCCATATTATTTCCCCCCCACCCATTTTTTGTCCTTTTCTATCTTTTTGCCCCCCAAATTTTGTCCTAGCTATCTTTTTGCCTTGTATTTTTGCAAAGAAAATCAAAATGTCCCTAGTTTTATTTTTAATACCGGGCACGATCGGGTTCACTTGCGCATCTGCGGCTCATGTCCTCGCTCATCTCTCGCTAGCCATCTTTTTGCCCCATGTTTTCACTGTTGAGCCATTTTTTTGCCCTATGTCTTCACCGTCAAACCATTTTTTTACCCTCAATCTTTCCATTCAGGTGTAGCACCCCTACCCCAACAAAGGTGAGTACCCCTCCCCCAGGGCTGTAGAGTACATTATCATACATTGGCATACATTTAGACAAGCGTTATTTCCATGGCAGACGTTTCCGAGCTGATCAGGACACAGTGGCCAAATCCGCAACATGCAAAAGTTTGTTAATTGATTGCTTTTTTGGTTTGGTATAAATCTAATGCCAATTTAAAGTCTGAAAACGAGTCTCTAAACGAGTCAAAAAACGAGGCCGCAATTATCAACTGTCACCATTTTTCTTACTACTCAGAACCAATGCATTCTGTGATTGGTCGGTAGCGGACACAGCGGCCATGGAAATAACTACTTCAATGCATCTAGGCCTAGTCCTCGATATAGTCGCGTAGCTCCAACTAAACTAAGTAACAGTAATTAACAGATACTCTTTGCATTTTCGTGGCTGCTGAGAGCACTGCTGTTTCTGCTGCTCTGTCAGTGTCATCCTTGCTAATGCTAGTAGTAGTAGACTAGTAGTAGTACTAGCAGTAGCAACCATGACACTGACACTAGTAATAGTAGTAGTAGCAGTAGTAGCAGTAGCAGTAGTAGCAGTAGCAGTAGCAGTAGTAGCAGCAGCAGCAGTAGCAGCAGCAGCAACAGTAGTAGTAGCAGCACCAGCAGCAGCTGCAGCAGCAGTAGCAGCAGTAGCAGCAGTAGTAGCTCTGCCTGCAGTCAACCCTAAATTGCATTTAGTTTCACTCCCACCACAGGTTCTTGTCGCCTGTAGTGGGACTTGGAGAGAAAGAGCTACACCGGTAGAGCTTCGATCCATGGTTGCATTTATCCATCAACAGTTGCATTGTATATATATGTTGGCTAGCTCAATTAAAACACTTGCACTATGTTATTGTAAAACTGATTGATTTATACAAAAACATGCAAACACTTGGCAAAATAAGATTTATTATAATTATGATCAGGCACAAAACATTCAACTCACCAACCCCATTTTCAAGTCACAGCCAGTTAGAGCCCAACACGCATGTATGATATAATATATTTTAACATTACAATATTGCATTATTTACGTATACATCCCACATGAGATGAATGGCATGATTGACAGGCATGCAGCTATTGCTCTAAGAAACGGTCATACTTCGAAAGACAGTGTATGGATGTAAGTCTTATGGCCTGTATAAGATAAGGACTCTATCCAATCATTTATGTTGTGATATGATGTTCTAAAAATAGATGCTTAGGAGCAAACTGCTACAAAGTTGAATGTTTGGTATGCATGCGCGCATGCATGCATGTTGGTTATCTATCTAAAACATATAGGTCAGTCGACTCGAACAATTGTATTAGGAATGACATAATTACTTCTATGTCATAACTTTATGATGTCACTCCTGATGATAGCGTAATACAATCTAGAACTGCTTACGTATAATATTGATTATTATTTTTGCTTCTGTATAAGGTACTAGAATTAGAAGTTTTGAGAGAACTGAAAATCCAAATCCGTATGAAGAAATCTTTTCGGAGTTCTGTCAGGCAATGATTGCAGAGCGAAGAAAATTGACTGCTGCAAAGCAGATTTTTCAAGGTGAGGAGTCTTCAGGTCAAAATGATGTGCTAGTCCTGCTTACTATAAATAAGAATTGTAACGAGAGGTGCATTTTTCTCATACCTATACTTGTTGCATGAAAGTTGTAGAATTATATAACATAGGCTACATCTCATATAGTAATTTTTCTCAATCACATTTAAATTATACTGCAATAATTGTTAGCCTATAGCTTCTAATGATATGAAAACATTCTTTCTTGTAGACGCAGACATAGCCACTATTGCAGAGAAATATCCAAACTGGGATGCTTCATTCGCTTTAGACATGAAAGCTCAATTTCAAACATTTGATGTCAACCAGGATGGATTTATTGATTTCAGAGAGCTGTAAGTTTGAATTAAAAATAAAAGCGAGTCCAGATGTATATGCACATTTAAAGGCAGACATTACTCTGGGTTCTTCAAATATTTTTAGTTAAGATAAATTAAAATCACGCAACATAAAAAGTTTCATGGTTCAATATTTATTAGAATTTTTTTTTTATGTTTTAAAACTGGTAGATATAACAATAGACATACAAATGTTATATCTATTAGTCTACCAACTAAATGAACTTATTTAATGAAATGTTTTAAAACGGTTATACCATTGTTTACAACGACGATGGAGCCACTGCACTGCATCCACTGAAATAGTTGCGCAGAGCAACGTTTAGGCTGCAAGCTACAGACCGAGGGAGTTTCTTATTTATTGCAAAATGATTGCTATAACTTATAAACAACACTTAGTTTCAGTTATATGGATGGATTTATCCTAAGATGAATATCGGTTGGTTAAATAGTATTTAGGTATACATATAATTGTACTTTTGTGATTAGCCCTCGGTCTGTAACATGCAAAATAAATTGGCAAATGCGCAACTATTTTAGGGTAGAAGCACGATCTCGGGTGTCATGTCAGTACAAGTACAAGTTCCTGTATTCTTTCAAAGAGCATCTCAAATGCATTGGTTATTATAATAAAACTGGATTTTTGATAGCCTGCTCTAATAGAAGCAATTAATTCTTGCTATAACCATAATTTCTATTAGAAAGATGTTTGGGGGATTGAAGCTCAGTATCCACTATGTGACAGACCATTATCAGATGAATTGTGTTTCACATAGGTGCCTGAAGTTAGATGAATTCGGTGATCACACCAGTGAGGATACACGGCGGCTCTGGTTTGATGAAGCAGACGAGGATCAGTCACAGGGAATTGAGTTCTGGGAGTTTTTAAAAGCAAGAAAACTTTATAGAGCAATAGCAACTATAATTAGTACCTATAGAATCACACATATGAAGTTGGCTAATCATGTACACTACTACAATGCAATGATACGTTTATATGTGATGAAAAGTAAATTCGAAGTTTTTTATAATAATTTCCTCTGAAACAATTTTACTCATTTCTAGCTGATCGACAACATTCAAAAGGGCACTGAATCAGCTGCTGCCAGAGGATTGGCAGATCTCATTGAGCACACAAACCAGGGTATCCATTCCATGCGCCAGCTCAATGTACTGCAACAAATGAAGCAAGGGCTCTTCTAGTTAGAGCTGATTGTAATGTAGAAGCCCAGGCTTGTTAAATTTCTAACGTTGCGTATTACTAGGATATTGGTAGCAAGACACATGAATTGAGATATATAGCTTTCAATTGAAAGTTGTTCTTTATATGCTGCTATAGGCCACCCCCTTTGGTTGTACAATTGCAACAAAGCTTGTATTTCTTATCAAACTACAAACGTTTTTCAAATGAAAATTCTGTTACATTTATAATGCACACACGTACACGCACCGACGCATGCGCGCACGCACGCAGGTATATGAGTAATTATTAAAACTGGATTCCTTGCTGTATGCTGGACCTAATTTACAGGCTCATTTAATCTGTTGGTATGTATTGTTACAGCCGTGATTCTTTCTTCACTCCACGAGCTAGCAGTTAAGTATGATCTACTGTAACATTCATGACATTTTTATGATATGATTCATAACAATTCTTTAATAAAATGTTTCTGATTTCACTTTGCATATTTAGTCTGCTATATGTATTGACAGCACAGAAAAACTCATAAGTCGATCCATACAGGGTGCTACACATCACTTGTCGGGCAAGTGGGGTGTGAAACTGGTTGCCCAGAGGCAAAAGTCACTTAATTGCCCGAAAAACATAAAGAAATACATAAGTTTTTTTTCTAATATGAATTTAAATGGTAAATAACGTACATGAAGGTCCAACTAGTCAACATCCAGCATTTCACTCAACGGCACGGTAGAAAGTTGAACAGCTGATACGAGTTTGTATACAAAATATATTCATGTTATGACACAGCACGCAGTTTGTTTTTATTTTTTTATTTTTTTAAGTCAGTTTATTATCAAAAACCCACCACTTACTCTCACAATAAATTAATTAAATACGTTCAAGTTTATTTGGGGCTGGATCGTAAGCGCAGAGAATATATATTGCAATGCATGCATGCATATATAATAGACTGACAGCATGTGGGCAGCATATTCGGGCATCGAGAAGTGGAACTGTAAAATTTCTGGAGTGCATGATGAGTGAACAAAACAGTACTAGATGAACTCTGGAGATTTTTTTTATATCATCCGAAATCATAACTCGTATATTTCAATTAATTATCTATGTACGGGTAGTGAACTTGGGCTTGTGTAACTGATTAAACAAATTTACATCGTTGAATGCTTATGCGTATGCTTGGTGAAGTCGTTGAAATTCGTTGAATCGTGATTCGTTGAATGCTTAATTATGCTTAAGGTGAAGTCTACGCAGCACTGCAAATAGACATTGTTGGCTTTTCAATGGTAGGTAAGTACTGCAAACTAGCTTAATTTGGCATGTTGGGCACGCTGTAGTAATGACAATGTTCACGCCATTTGACTCATCATTTACGATCGCGGATTCAATAATTCTCAGAGGATTCTCGAATTAATCATAATTCGAGACTGATGTGATAAAATGGAGTACAGTGGCAGAAATTTCCACTTACAGGTTACTTTTAGTATCAAGTGTCGCTGAATGTTATATACTGTAGTACCCATGCATGCACCTGTGACCAAAGGCGCGATCTCGAAAATATCATAAAAGGAAAAACGTGCTACCCGACGTTCTAGATGATTCGTAGCCTGTTCTGCCGCTTACATTCCAACCACTCATATAGGGGTGTTGGGCGTGCAGTGTTTAGACACGGTTGAATGGTAGGCAGCTGGATCTGCAGTATATATATACAACGTGTCTAAACCAGTAGAAGCACACTTGACCATGCAGGGCGTAAAAGACTCGATGAAATACGGCCGGTTAGCTGAAAGATATAGATTCGTACGGTTGACAGTATGGGCCATTGCAATCGCAGTTCTATTGACGAAATTGTAAGTGCAATATCTGTATGTATGTATGTATGTATGTATGTATGTATGTATGTATGTATGTATGTATGTATGTATGTATGTATGTATGTATGTATGTATGTATGTATGTATGTATGTATGTATGTATGTATGTATGTATGTATGTATGTATGTATGTATGTATGTATGTATGTATGTATGTATGTATGTATGTATGTATGT